AAGTGCTGGACATCTACTAGGTGAACCATTCAATAATCTGGCAGTGAGAGTCTGTGAGTCTGGATCTTATGTAATGAGCTGAACAAGTGGAACTGATGAAGCTGATTGCTGTTCTGTGAGGGGAGGGGTGAAACAATGAGCAGGTAAACAGAACTTGAGAGACAGGAGGGCAGACAGAGCAGCCCAAAACATGACAGTTACCATCTAAAAATCCTAAAATTATGTATATACAAGACACAACTACAATACAATATTTGTCCATGAGTGCCGATGCAGGCTCCTACCTCTCAAACTCTCCTGATGCTGAATCAGACACTCTGCTACCTCCATGCTCCTAAATCCGCCTTCTCTCTGCCTGCCTGGCTGATGAGCTGTCTGAGTCTATTCATTCGCTTGACTTCTTACACCTCATCCCACTCTTTGATGTGACGACTGGGATTTATTTCAGCGCTTGTAACAGAGACACTTTGTATTAAAAAAATTAAAGAAGTTCTACTTTTTTGCTGAGCTGAACGTTAGCTCTGCTTTTTAAGGTGCCAAGTAAATGAAAAATTCATCAAAGTATCAGTGAGTTTTGTGATTCAGGCCGTGGCAAAACTATTAATGTGAGGAAAGAAGTAAATGTTAAACACAGTGATATGCATTTCAGGAATAAATAAAAACACGTTTTACCAGGAGACAGAGACAAGTTTAACAAATACATTTGAGGAATTAAATTAAAGTGAAGTTTTGGTCCACTTTACAAGTTCTTAAATTTACGGTGTTGCTGATTCTGTCCACTTACCTTTTAAGAAGAAACAGCACCAAAATCGTATTAGTTTCTTCATATATTGAATAAATAAAAGCTGCTAATTACAGAAGCACTAATTTAACCCTATACCATCAAAGAGAYGGTCAACGAATCAACAAAACTTTATTTTCCATATGGTTATGGTTTATGGTAAATAGGGATGGATAAAGAACCCATAAGAGTGGCGCCTCATAGGTGGGCCTATTGTTCTCCCCAAAAAGATACTAAGCTTTAATCAAACCTTTGTGTTCCTCGAATGAAGGACACAAGGTTAGAAAAAAATGTTCTAAGCTTCTCAAGATCCATAAATGGGTCCCCAAGAATTATTTTCCTTTAACTGCTCAGAACCAGAGGCCTAAAGCTAGGTTTATAGTTGATGCATTGAACATGGTGCAAGAGTGCATGCACCAACAGTGGCAACAACAATCATGTCGTCCCTGTGTGCTGGCCTCTGTGCGGTGTCGTGGTGCRTTGTCGTGCACTTCTAAATTTTTGAAACTCCGACTCAAACAGGAAGTAACTCTTAAATTAGGATATGTATTCATTATACATCTTGTGAAAGGAGAATACGTATGTGTGTGAGAGATCAAATACGTATGTGTAAGACATAAAATATGTGTATGTGAGACACAGTGCCTTGTGAAAGTATTCGACCCCCCTGAACTTTTCAACTCTTTGCCACATTTCAGGCTTCAAACATAAATATGTCAAATTTAAAATTGTTGTGAAGAATCAACAAGTGGGACACAATCRTGAAGTGGAACAAATTTTATTGGATATTTTAAACTTTTTTAACAAATAAAAAACTGAAAAGTGGGGTGTGCAATATTATCCGGCCCGTTTACTTTCAGTGCAGTAAACTCACTCCAGAAGTTCAGTGAGGACCTCTGAATGATCCAATATTGTCCTAAATGACTGATGGTGATAAACAGAATCCACCTGTGTGTAATCAAGTCTCTGTATGAATGCATCTGCTCTGTGATAGTCTCAGGGTTCTGTTTAAAGGCACAGTGATCCACGTCATCATTTACCCAGAATGCTTTGTGTGTAAATAAAATGGCCCTGTCCGTGTAATATATTTTTTAACTTTTAGTTTAAAAATTATAAAAACTAAACATCCTACAGTATTTTTACAGTCTTTATTTTACAGTTAAAATATATTTATCATACAAAGTCTAATGTTACAACTAATAGTGGATCCCTTTAATAGAAAATATGTACAGTTTAAGTCAAATGTGTTTTTGTATTTCAGTAAATAAAATTTATTTTGAATATTTCACTTTTTATG